CTCGCACGCCTGCACCGTCCGCTCCATGAGCGGAATCAGCACCGCGAGTGTCTTGCCGCTGCCAGTTGGCGCCTCCACCACGGCGCTGCTGCCGGAGGCGCTGAGGACGCCGATGGTGCGGGACTGCACGGGCGTCGCGTGCGAAAAGAAGAAGACATTGCGGAGGGCAAAGATGGTGGCCTTGTGCAGCGGTGGCGTGACGTCCTCCCACGGCATCTCCAGCGCCTCGTCATTCCACGCCTTCTCCTCCGGCTCCCATTGCCGCCGCAGCCGCTTCACCGCAATCTCCGACGACGACATCACCGCCTCTAAACAACCGCACACACACACACACACACACACACAGGCACTGGTAAACACCAGAAGAGATGTTGGCAGTTCAAACGTTAACAGAAAAGGGGAGATTGAGTAATATTCCAAGCACAGAAGAGATAAATGACAAGAATAAAGCCACCACCACCACGACAGCAGCAACGATTGGCAACTGCAAAAAGAGAAAACACGCAGCANGAAGAGATAAATGACAAGAATAAAGCCACCACCACCACGACAGCAGCAACGATTGGCAACTGCAAAAAGAGAAAACACGCAGCAGGCGCAAAATTGGCAAATTCGGGAAGTATAGTCCCTATTCTTGTCTTCCATATATGTGTGTGCATCAGGGCAACCCACTCACAGAACAAAGCAAAGAAGACCATTGTGTTGCCATCTGTCTGTTATTCAACAACTTCCTGCATTATCGGTTCAGTTTTTCTTTGTTTTTGGTGTTGTTTTTCCTTTGTCGAATGGCCTTACTCCCATTACTTGACGCGGATAAACGCCAGCGTCACACCGCTCGCCACGAACGCCAGACACGAAATGGAATACACCACCACAAACCCGAGGCTGCTGTAGCGCGCCGCACCCGCATCCGTGCGCCCCACGAAGGTGTGCAGCACCGTGCCGTACACTACCTGGCCAATCAGCGTGCCGATCGTCGCGCTCGTGGCGAAGAGGCCCAAATCCTTCGCCGCGTCGACGGGAGACCCGCTCTTGCGCGGCAGCGTGGAGACACCCAGCGCGTAGTCGACAGATAGATACGATGCGCTACCGACGCCGTGAAGGAAGCCAACGACGTACAGAAGTGCTATGTCGCGCACTGCGAGCAGCAGCAGAAGCGACACAGCGCACACTATCACAGAGGCGTAAATAACCGGCTTCCGCCCGATGCGGTCGGAGAAGATGCCGCTCGGAATGGCGCCCACGAGTCCGCCGGCCAGCGCGGCGATCCACAGCGCCGAGGTGATGCGCACCGGACTTGCGGCCCCGAACACGTCGCGCACGTAAAAGACGAGGTACACTTGTACCGCCAGGCCGAAGTTAAATAACGCTCGCCCCAGACAAGCAAAGACAAAATCGGGATAAACGCGGAACGACGGCATTGTCAAGGCTACCACCACTGCATCACAACACCGAACGGGGTGCTGCGACTGCCGTAGCGGTTCGACCGTAGGTATAAAGGACATGGTTATCACAAGGCAGAAGAGTGTTGCCAGAACGTAGCTGCATAGGGAGTAGATGACAGGCAAATCGAGTGCAAACATCGCGTAGCCAGTGCCACTGCCCGAAAGGGCGAGAAGCGCCATCGCCCCGCTGCCTTTCCCAGTCTGCTCCTCAAGCACATAGTCATTTAAGAGTGCTGTTATCATACTGTACACAATCGAAAGCCCAACAGTGGCGATGACCTGCGCAACACAAAGCACCGCCAGCATTTCTGTTATCTCCACGAGGATAAATGTAAAGATGCCGACGACCGTTAAAGCTGCACCATAAATCAAAAAGATCGCCCTGCTCCCCACACGATCACTGTACGCCCCAATAAGCGGTGCAGACATCTGGGAAAGTGCCCCTAGCACCATCAATGCCCCCACCCAGAGACTTTGTGCACCGTCAGCGAGACGTGCAACCGTTTTAGGAATCACAATATTATTCAAAGTATTGAAGCAGAGGGCATAGCTGAATGACATGGAGAATAAAACTAGAAGCTCTTTCATAGACAAGAGCCGTTTCAACAGCATCGGAGACGATACAGTTTGCTCATGACCCAGCATGTGCTCATGATCGCTTGTTACACTCGATGTGTCGATGCGATTCTTTTCCTCATAGAAGTACTGCTTGAGAGGGGGCATACCGTCCGTGTCGCCTCCGCCGCACGGTGCGCCAACTAAGCTACGGTGTATGGTTCACCACCACCAGCACAACAACTACAACAGCAACAGACCCGAACAACAACAACAACAACAAGAAACAGAAAAAAAAGTAATGAATAAAAGACAGCAAGAGTAGAAAGGTATTTAGGCAAGGTGTACAACGGCACGCCCAATTCAGGTCAGGGGTTCTCAGGTGTTTTTTTGTTGTATGTGTGTCGTTTTTTTTGGAATCATGGCAAAAGCACTTCGATCTGTCGCACCTTCACCATAGTCACAGGTTAGTTCTTCTTCCTCATTAAAACTGTATTCCCTTTTGCTTGATTGATTCACCGTTCTTCTCGTATTTGTTTCGCTCTCTCCGATTGTGAATATATTTGTGTTTGTGTTTGTGTATGTGTATGTGGAGGGGGCGACTAAGACGTGGTGAACTTCGTCCGCATGGCCTCATACCGCCGGAGGTCGTCGGGTGTCACAGACGGCTTCAGTTGGGCACGCGCACGCAGGAAGTCGCCCATTCGTACGATGAGCCGCGGCGATTCGCTGCCGTCCTGCTGCTGCGCACCCGGCGCCGCCGCACCAACTGCCATGGCGCTCTCGAGCATCGCCTCCACCGCAAACATCATCGCATCAGAGCACAGTGCGAAGAGGTCGGCGCCGGTGTACACAGGCGCCATGGGCTCAAGGAGCGCCTCGAAGTCAACGTCGTCGGCGAGCTCGAACTTCCGCGTCAGGGCGCGCAGCGCGACCAGCTGCTCGTCACGGGTGCCGGGGATGCCCAAGTAGCAGAGCCGGTCGAAGCGGCCAGGCCGCAGCAGCGAGGGGTCGAGAAGGTCAGGCCGGTTCGTGGCACCAATAATAAAGACTTGTCCGGCGGCGCTTCCGTCGCTGCGCGTGTGGCCGACGCCGTCCACCTCGACGAGCAGCTGCGCCACAACGCGGTCCATCGCACCGCCGGCGTCACCCTTCGCGCCGCGCGCCGGCGCCAGGGCGTCGAGCTCGTCGAAGAAGATGATGCACGGCGAATTGTCACGCGCGCGCTGAAAGAGCAACCTTATGTTCTTTTCGCTCTCGCCAACATATTGGTTAATCAGCTCCGGCCCCTTCACCGCCATGAAGTTCATGTTCATCTCCGTCGCCACCGCCTTGGCGAGCAGCGTCTTGCCGCAGCCAGGCGGCCCGTAGAAGAGAATGCCGGCTCGCCGCTTCGTGCCGCTGCGGAAGAGGTCGGGGNGCTCACGCTTCGCCTCCTCCAGCCCGCCCACGTCGCTCCACCGCACCGGCTGCAACTTCGTCGACACGAGGTTGTGCCCGTGAGCCTTCTGGAACTTTTGCAGGACGTCAGCGCACAGTGACTCTGAGAGGACAGGGCGAACGTCATCGGGCACACGCATCGTCGACAAGAGCGACACACACTCCTGCATGTACGCCACAACATCAGCCACGCTCAAGCCGACGGTCCACGACGCCATAGCCTCGAAGGATAGGAGCAGACTTTTACCGAGTCCCAGCGATTGCTGTGCCTCCTCGAAGAGGCTCGACACTATGAGGAGACGGTCCTCGTCAGACGGATTGGTGCCTTTTAGCACGCCCCCCACGTTTCGGGCTCTCGCGGCCACCGTCGGCGGCGGCGACTCCACGCACTCGCAGACAAGAAAAATAACACGAACACCAGTACATTCGCCTTCGCCCACATCGTTCGTGTCGAACAGTCGCAGCACCTGCGGACGATCCGGAAGCTGCTGGGCATTCTTAATGATGAGCGACACCCCACCCGCACTCTTCATGTACTCCATCATCAGTTCCCGTACCTCCTCGTCGCCCCAGCGGCTGAGGTCGGCGATGAGAGCCTCTACACCATTCTCTGCAAGCGCAGTTGCAATACATTCGTATGGAAAGTTCTCCTTGACTGCATGCACCACAAAAACATGGCTCCCCACATGCTGTGACGGAGTGTACCACGAGCCCATCGCATCACGGATGCTTGTCGTAAGAGATAGCTTCGCGTAGAACGTCCGTAATGGGCGCGGCGGTGGAAAAAGTGGCGTGGTGTCTGCGCACGGAACGCCACTCCGAAGGGACATCAGCAACTCCGTACCACCGTTGCCGTCGCCTCCCAGCTGCAGCCGCCCGTACGACTTGCCAGATGACGTTGTGACTTCCGTTACACGGAGCGGAATGGCGATTGCACCTTTGTGTAGCAACGCCCCCGCTGTCGATGTTGCAGCCTGGCCATCCTGCACAAAATGCGCGACACGCGACAGCACCGCCTCAACGGCGTCGGTGCACACCGACTGCTGCTCAACGAAGAGTCGTGGTGTGACGCGAAGCACAACGATGTCCCCCTCGGCAATAATCCGCCCGTGGAGCTCCTTCCTGGAGGCATGCAGCGCGAGGGTCACGAACTGCTCGTACGTGTCACCAAATAACGCGGACAACATAAAAGTAGGCCAGGCCGGCACAACAACGACACTGCTGAGCTGAATATCGCTGGAAGTGTCCGTCGCGTCCAGCACACCGCGAAACGCCGAGAGCGAAACACGCAGCCGGCATTCTGAGCAGCGCAGCCGCGCCGCGGCGACGGACGGCAACGCATCCAGAAACATGCAGGCCCGGATGTTGCGGAAGACATCAGGCGGCGTCCGCAGTGTGCATGTGACCGCTGCAGCATCGTCGCACTCCTGCCCATCCTCTGCAATAACAAAGGCTGTGCTATACTCCTCGTCTCCGACGCACACCAACCCGCCATCCATCAGAAGCGTCTGAAGCAAGAAGCCGCGCGATGCCAGAGCGGTAGTGCCGCTGAGGGTGTGGTCCAGCAATACTATACACGTGTCGTCCTCATCAATGCAGGCTTCACAGCTGTCATCCGCCACATTTGGTGTGTCGACAACCAATGAAGCCTCGAATTCAGCGGCCGGCGGCAGAACGATAAGCGTTGTGGCGTCAGTCAATCTGCCGGCTGTCACCGGGATTAAATCAATGACGCTCAGTTCCGCTGGGCAGTTACCGCCTGGAGGGATCGTCTGCCCCAACCGTACTTCCGCAGAGTGTTGCACAATCGCACGCAGCAGGGAGTCTGACGACTCGCCATTGGTTCGACCACTTAACTTTAGCACACTCTGGTAGCCTTCTGCCGTGACGGCGCGCAGAATACACCGCTCAAGTTCCACAGCCGTTTCCATGATTAGGCGTCCTCGTTACTTTAGTCAAAGCGCCTCGCAATAACGATTGCATGGGCCCCCAATCAGAGAAAGAAGACCAATCAAACAAAAAAAAAGGAGAGAAGAGGCGCGCTAAATAAATGCATAAAACGTTCAAAAGCAGCAATGATAATGCCTCGCGAGAGAATAACAAAATGGTGTTAAACACCTTTACCGTCATCAGCAGCATCACATTTAACAATACAGTGCCCCTCGTCTTCCTCAATCTGATCCGACCTTTAGCTCCGTTAAATCCTGCAGCGTCACCACAATGTTGCCGTAGTTGGAAAGGAAGGCCTGTGTAATCTCCGGCAACCCGCACTTGTCTCCAAGGGCAGCGCCTTTCAGAGCTAGCAGGCAGGCCGTGAGGTCTACCAGTGACGGCCGCAACTCCGCTCTCTGCTGGCAACGCTGCGACAGTAGCAACTCGTCCCACTGGGGCGCCTCCGGACTCACTGCTGACATATCTGCTTGCCGTATGATGGGTGCCACCGTGCGCTGGAACCCAATACGACTTTCCCAGACGTACGGGGGAAACAAAGCAGTGGAAGAGCCACACAATTCCGCCAGGTATGCATGACGGCGCGCAGCTGTCGCGAGGTAGTGTACGTAGGCGGCGAACATTGCCCCTAAATCACCTGAATGGTACCGCACGGCTTCTTGCGCTGCTACTAGCTTTTCCTCATCGGTTATCGGCTGCACAGAATCTTCCAAGGTTACAAGGCGCACACCCTTTCTCTGCTGCAGAGCAATATATCTGCTGGCAACGTCGAAGCGCGATCTTTCAGGTGCTGCTAACGCCTTCCAGAAGGACGCGCCGCACGGCTTCCCAGCATATGAGCAAACTGCATGGACGAGCGCTTCATCCTCCGCCTTGGTCCATTCACGTGCGCGTGGCGTCTCTTCCACGTCATCACGTGCCGCCACAGTGCGCATGCCGTGCTGCAATTGAGGGAATACAAGGGTCGCCTCCCGCCACCGTGTCTCCTCTGCGGTGAGGGGAAGTTGCGCGTAGCGCGGGATGCCGCCCTCTGCGTATATGCCGGCATCACGAAACGGAGAAATACCCAAAGCGCTGGCCTTGGAGCTGCCCTGAGAGTACACGGATAGGGAGGCCTTGGTGCGGTCGCGCTTGTAGGCGAGACGCCGCCGCGCCTTGGTGGTGTACTGCGGCCTACACAGCGCTATGCGAAGGGCGGAGAGGTAAACCTGTGCTTCATACAATCGTCTGCATTTCTGTCGCAACTCAGCTTGAAGCTGCTGATTCGCTCTAAGCGCCGCATCGATGTTGTCAAGAGTCACGGCATGGGCGTCCATCGCGTTACTATGGCAATGCCGCTGGCGTCACAAGGGCACGTATAAAATCACAATAAGAATAATAACAAACAGAAAAGAAAAAGTAATGAAACGCATGCAAGCAAAGGGCCCCACATCCACTGGAAACCAACAACGAAGTTCATATAATACCACTACTCATCAGCGCTCTCGTTAACTAGACGTGAAGATCATTTGAGCAGCCTTTCTCGCGTAAACCGTTTTCACCAACGAAAGCCGGCCCGTGTATTTCCCCCTTCTGTGGGGATCTTTATTTGGAATATATATATATGTTTTCTGTTCTCTTTAGAGACTCACTCTTCGACGTCGTCTTTTATGTCCTCTTTTCCACCTTCACCTTCGCCCGCCTCTTCCTCCTTTTCCTCGTCCTCAGCCGCAAGCTGCTGCTCATACGCCTCCCATTCCCTCTCCTTCTGCTCGCGGCGCTCGCGAAAGAAGCGCGCCTCCTCCTCCTCACGCTCCTCCACGAGGCGCAACTGCTCGAGCAGCTTTTTCGCCTCGTTATACCGTCGCTGGGAAAATTGCCCCGCCAGCTTCTGAATGCGTCGCTCCGACTGACGTTTCGTGCTGCCACCGTCTTCCAACGACTCCTTCGCCATCGACAACCAAAACGGCGTGGTGCGCGTGAAGAATTCCGCGGCATTCTCCTCCTTGAGTGGAGTCGGCACTGAGAAGCCGGCGCTGAGCTGCGCCAGCAACTGCTCCTTGTGGACCTTCAGGCCCTTCTTGCCCTTAACAGTTGTGATGCCGTCCACTACCTCGCGGCTGAGCGTCACGGCGGCGTTAAGTTCGGCAGGAATCGCCAGCGGCGCCTCATCGCCGTCGTCGCCCTCCTGCAGCTCGCGCGGAATTCGTCCCAGATCGACACCGCCGTCCACCACCTCGTCATCGTCGTCCAAGTCATCCTCGTCGTAGTCGAGGTCGAACGCCGCACTGACGACGGTGCTGCCGCTCTCCCACGAGCCGGCGTCGCTCGCCTCCGCCTCTTTGCCCAGCCACACCGCCGCCGAAAGGTCCTGCGAGAGCAGCACACGGTACGAGTCGCATGTGTTGAGGTTGAGCGCGAAGAGATCCGCCATAGTTACCTCTCGCGCGCCGCACTCGAACTGCCCACCAAAAATGTAGAGTGTATTGCCCACGATTATTGTCGAGGCGTTCATGCGGCGGTGTGGGTAAATCTGCCCACGCTGGTTCACTGAGAAGCTTTCCTTTAGCTGGGTGCTGTCCACCGCCGCCTCATTCTCGCCAAGCTCACTGCTGCCGTCATCGTCATCCTCTTCCTCGTCGGCATCTTCATCATCGCTGGCGGAGCCATCTTCGGCGAGGTGCTGCAGGTGGAGGGCTCTAAGCTCTGCCTGCAGGTCGCCCTGCACGGCGGTACTCGCCTTTGTCGTCTTTTTGGCGCGCAGTACAACTGGGTAGAAGCGCTTCGTGTCCATGTGGAAAATGAAAAGGTCATTGTTGAAGCTTGACACAACCTTTCCACCGGGCGATTCGATGTCCACTACGCCACCGAAGAGATACATCTTCTTGTCCTTGAACGCGCAGCTCACACCGCATCGAATGGGTGGAGGAATGCCGCCAAGCCGTACTTTGGTCCACACGGCAAAGTTGTCGGCGTTGTCGTTGTCGTCGCTGGACTGCTGCAGTTTGATTGTCCAGAGGTCGTGGTGCACCGTCGCCTGCGACTTTTTAAAGCGGTTGAACTTCTCCGTGGAGAAGCCGCCGAAAACGAACAGCGTGTCATTGTGAACCGCCATGCAGTGTCCACTGCGCGGTTGTGGTGATTCGGCATACGGCGAAGTCTTGATCGCTGTCCATTTACCTGCACCATCCAAATGTGACAGCACCCACAAGTCGTTGTAGTAATGACACTCCTGCGCGTTGTCGTAGAACCCACCAAAGAGAACAGCGCTACGACGCCAGAGGCACATGCGGTGACCGCTGCGCGAGGAGGGGCCGCCCTTGAGGGTCTTCAGCTCTTCCCACTCATACTTTCGTGCATCAAAGCGCCAAACGTCCTTGAAGTGTAGGAATTGTGATTGTGACTGCGACACAAACTCCCCACCGCATATGAGGAAGTAGTGCTTGTACACGACGCCCTGGCTGCTGCTTCGCGGCGGCGGGTTCACCGCGGTCACGAGACGTGACCACGCACTGCGCTTCGTATGGTAGAAGTAGAGATCATTATAAGCAACAGTCTTCTCGCCGTCCCAGCACTCCCCGCCAAAGACGAGGAGCTCATGATCCCGCTCTGGGTGTGGCGCAAATACGACGTTTGCGCGTGGGCTTGGCGGCTGAATGTTCTCCTCCTCCGTTGTTGTGCGCGTCTTGCTCTCCAGCTTGCGAATGCGGTTCAGCGTGACTTCTGGTGCCTCCTCGTTGTTAAAGCCTGTAGCCCCGTCGCCACCTTCGCACCCCTGCTGGTGCTTCCCTTTGGCGCGCTTGTGAACCTGCCGGGTGGCCCGCTTCACCGCCTTCTCCGGGTCCTCGTGCTTCTTACGCTTGTCGCGGCCCTTCCCCATGGCACCCACCTCACCCTTCGCCTACTTACTGCTTGTGAAAAAACCTTCCCCCCCCCGTGGGCAGTGCTTCCGCGCAGAGGTGAAGAGAGGCAAAGGGTGGGAGCCAGAGAGCCAAAGCAAGCCGCCCCCGCACACGTAGGCGCACACACACACACGCACACACCCGCAGCACTACAGAGGCACACAGGAAACCCCGCATGCCTACCCTCACACAGACGAAATAACAACAAAATCAAAAACAAAGAGCTGTGAGCAGGAAAAAAAAAAAAAGAGCGCAAGCGAGCGAGCGGCTTTACACGAGAGAGATTGCCGAAGTACTTCGTTTTTACTTTTTTTGTTAAAATTTGGTATTTTTTTTTTTTGGTTGTGTTTCGTTCCTTCTCCATCCACCGAATAGACGTCCACGGCTACCAGCGTAACGGAAAACAAAAAAAAAGAAAAACAAAACGCCGATTTCGTCATTTCTTTCTTTTTTTTTTTAAAAAAAAGAGAAAAACAAAAAAAAAAGGGATAACACACACGCGATTATTCTTAATGTTCCAGCACCGGCCTGTCCCAACCCCAGAGAGAGACACGCCTCGTCGTCTGCTGCGTCTTTTTCTTTCTTCGTTTGGTTCTCTTTGTGTGTTATGTTTGGGGGCTTCTTGGGACCGAAGGGACGCCGTCGAGCAGCGAGCGGGCGGCAGAGTCGCAGGCAAACACAGAGCGCAACGGGCAAACGTTCCGCGTTAAGCAAAGCAAAAGAAACCAAACAAAAAAAAAAACGCGGCGCACTTCGAATTGAAAAAAAAGGACGTTTCCAGCGCCGATCTTCACCCCCTTTGAGTCACTCGGCATGGCGTTGTTACACTTCCGTTCATTCGGGCGCCTGTCGCCACGGCAGCGCGCAGCAGAGAAGACGGCGGAAAGAGCCTCCCGCACTAAACCACGGGAGCAGAAAGCAAAAAAGGACACCCGAACACACACACACACACAAATGACTCAGGAAAGCCAGAACAGAAAAAAGAACAAAAAACCCTCAGGACTAATCAGTTGAGTCCAAAAAGGATTCATGGTCCTCCATCTGCTCCTCATCCCTCTGCCCCGAATTCTCAGCCCACTTATCGCGGACAAAGCGCATGTACACAATGTGCATTGTCAGACTCGCCACGAAGGCGAACGCCGAAAGGCAGGCCATTACAATAAACGTCGTCCGCAGGCACTTATCACGGCCCAAGCATTGCGGCTGCCCCTCCGGGCCAATGACAGAATTCCTCGTCATGATTTCACCAAAGAGAAGGCGGTTAAAGAATATAACGCCGATGAGATCAAAGAAGAAGATGCTGTTGTAATGCTTCGCCACATCAATGCTGAAAATTGTCCGGACAGTCAGCACGAGCGCAGCGGCGTAAGAACCATTGGCCAACCCGGCAAGAAGCATCGGCACGATCAGCGCATTCGCCGGCACAATGAGGAAAAA